CTTCATTTATATAAAGCTTCAAATTGAAAATAAATTTTATTAAACTTCAAATAAATAAATACATGTTGTAAAGATAAAGATACGTTTCGGGGCACAGCCCCTTCGTCAGAAACGAGATAAGTTCAAATCCATGTCCTTAAATACTTTTGGCCCAATCCTAATTAACATACACTAATAATATATATAGACTTGCATTAATATTCCTCCCTCAAATTTAATCCCAGTGGTACATATGTATTCAATTTTTCAATCCAAAAACTTATTTTCAATTTGAAGCTATATATAAATGAAGTTTTTTGGGAGGCTAGTGATATATATATATATATATATATATATATATATATATATATATATATATATATATATATATATATATATATATATATATATATATACCAAATATGTAATCCCCGAGCCGGCGGCGCGAAGCGCCGTGCGAGGGTACTAATTCCCCCCGGCTATTTACACCCGGGGAAACGAAAGCATTAGCGGAGTCTAAAGTTCATCAAATATCGCGGGCGTGGGTCACCAACGATGGGTGGTCATCCTCACTGACCTCAAAAATATGGCGGACTGTCATGAATAGCGGACACTGATTGGTCCAATTTAAAGTTTGCATAAACGACTGCATCACGTCAGCGAAATAGCAAATATTTCTTGATTTGATGATTCATGATTGATAAATTTCTTGCGAATATATTTCATTTTTACTCGCATTTTTGCAATATTTTGTAAATTTCAAAAGCTCTCGGAGAAAGAAACTGCGAAAGAATCGGCTAAAAGAAGGGAGCCGACGTTAACGAAGGTAAGTTTGTTTTAAATATTGATTTTATAATGGCTTTAAAACCCGACGGCCTTTGCGTATATGAAACAACTAAACAAGACAGCATATAATTTCAGTGTATCTTTAATATTGATTCCCTTTTTTATGATATTGAATTTTTTAAATAAAAAAGAAAGCAAAGTTATTTGCAAGCGAGAATTTGAAATCATTTTATTGAAAACTCAAAGTTTATCGATAAAGCCATTTTAAAAGGCAGTTTAGTTTTATAAAGAACACTGGTGACTTAAAAACGGTTTGCGAAGCGTTTGTGCTTGAATTTTACCTTAAATTGAGGCTGATAGTACGTATATATAAATAACATACCTATACCATATATATATATATATATATATATATATATATATATATATATATATATATATATATATATATATATATATATATATATATATATATATATAAATTCGCGGAGATATTAATGTTTAAAATCGGGAGCATATTTCTGGATGTGTATGAAATATGCAAAAAACGGGGTATCAAAATAATATTAATCAAGATTTGCCCGACTGAAACATGCACTATTACCAGTAAATAAATGACACTTGACAAATTGTTTATTATGAAACAAAGTATTATTATCTACAAAATACAAACAAGATTTATTCATCCGAAATCCGCATGTGTTCCTAGCACGAATATATACGTTTCCTTATTTCATGAGACCACTGCATCGCGAAGGATCGTCATGGATCGTTCGTAGTTCAGAATTAGGGCATGCTGTCACAATGGAATTGTGAAGCTCTTCTAACTTCTGCAACGTTCTGAAATCTTGTTAAGAACACCCATACTCTTTTGCCTTTTCTTAATCTTGGCAAGTTCAGAATAAACTGAGAATGAAACACAATCAAACCATACAACTCCATAAGACATAACAAGCAACTCCCCAGAGACATCCAACATTTTTGGAACAACTTGCATGGTCTTTCATGTATACCCTTTAAGTTTGTAAAGACCTATTAAATACTTGCATAATTTCAAGCGTTCATATTTCAGGAAACAATGAGCTAAGACTTACATGTAAGATGTCTAAATCTACGCCATATCCCTTACAAACCCTAACGACAATTCGCTGAAATACAAATTATCCTGATATGTCATTAAGCAAACAAACGCTGGAGTTAATATTTGATATGCCGATTTTCGCTAATTTTAGACACATCCCAAAATATGCTCCCGATTTTGAACATTAATATCTCCGTGAATTTTTAAGTTAAATACAACTGTAATATATCAAAATCTAATTTAGTCATTCCTCTATTTGATGCAAGTTATTTCTCTTTTTTGGGACACCCGGTATATATATATATATATATATATATATATATATATATATATATATATATATATATATATATATATATATATATATATATATATATATATTTAGTATAAACCTACTAATAGGCTATCATGTATCGTGCGTTCTGATTGGCTACGCTACTAGTAGGCTATTAGTGATAGCCTACTAGTAGCAACAAGCGGCGAAGGGCGCGAGAGTCAATGGCCGTTTTTAAGTATTAAAAGCTGCATTTAAAGGGAAAAAGCTTATCAAAATGGCCTAGTTTTGGTTCTGGATTACACACAAACAAAGACTCTTGGAAACTGCTGACACATGCGGTAAAATTTTTAAGTTTTCTCAACTTTGCTCGTAGTTTTGAACATGAAAGTGACAGGCGATTTTTTAAAATGTGCAGAATGTTTGTTAATATTCCAAGCAGAATCGTTGAAATTCAACAATACTTTGTAGCTATTTACCCCTATTTTCTCAACCTCTTTAGTGTGTGCTTGTTTTAAGTACGAGTTCATGTATTTAGCTGTCATTTTAAAGAGTTTTTTTCGTTTAAATGTTGAGATTTTGGCCGAGTTTGTTTTTCGTCTTTTTCGAGCCTTTTTAAGTCGAGTTTTTCGATTAAATTTTAATCTAAACTATTGTCTATGTATACTAGATTATGGAAATGGTTTGCCTCTTTATGTTCCAGATATTTTAAAGATTTCAACGACATTCGGATAATCGGATTCTTTTGCATGTGTGTGCATTTTTATTCGGCTTTTTAACGTAAACTTTATTTACTAATTTAGTAACAATTCGGGAAGCCATTTTGTGTTCGAAATTTTGGACTTTTTAAGCCTTGTTTCCTTCTTTTAAATAAGTTTTAATTAACCAAAATTTGCTTCTATAACGGTCTCTTACTATTATACTGTTTTACGACATGTTTTTTAACTTTTTTAAAACTCACAAGTTGTATTTTTCAAGTCATTCTTGAGAGTTTGCAACACTGAGTAGTTGTCAACAAAGCCGAGGCGAAATGTCGCCAAAGGAAGCCATTTAAACGCTCATTTCGTTAAAACGTTATTATTTTACATAAAAATCAAGTGAAAAATTCCGTTTTCTTTATGAATTATGTGGTTTATACTAAAACAATTAGACAACTCAGCCTCGTTGTCTCTGAACGAATAGTCAACTCGGCTTCGCCTCGTTGACTATAACGCGTTCCAAAGAATTTTGAACAATTCCAAACTTGTGATTTTCCGCACATTTTCATGAAATTAACAAAAATCCGCAGCGTGATGTTTTTTTTTAAAGAAATAAGCTGTTTTTGGCAGACACCATTTGATTGTCTGCAAGAACTTCCTTTTTCTATCAAATCAAGATTCCACAGTACGATAAGCTGAGCACAAAATATACTGGTGGCTGAATTTCAGACAGACCTATATGTGGATGCAAAATATAGGCGCGTCTGAAATTCAGACACCGGTATATCTTGCATCCTGACATAGGGGATATCTGGATACGAAATATACTGGTGTCTGAATTTCAGACAGA